ATGACTTTCATTGATGACAAGCTCAAATCGGCGTCGCTTGCGGAATATCTGAACGCGAAATGCCCTCCAGAGATTGCAGCAAAAAAACCTTTCCGCCATTACCACTCGTCGATGTCAAAGGAGTATCTGGAAGAAACGGCCAATGAGTTCAAAAAGGCGGATGGTGATTGTAAAGGTCTAATCGCCACTGAATCTGCTTCAAATGTGAGTATTACCTCATTTTGAATTTAACAATTATCAACAGACTTCTACCAGGGTCTCGATGTTCCTGATATTAGTTTGATCGTGATGTTCGGAGTACCGAAAACACCGTTCGAAGCAGACCAACGAGCGGGCCGAGGTGGCCGCGACGGTCGGCGATGCCTTGTTCTCACTATTGGCGAAGACTGGGCGGTAGAGAACTTGGCAGAATCTAACCTGAATCATGAACCTTGCGCCAAGGAGCTGCGGACATCCGCCGTGGTTATCTCATGGGCGTGTACAGAGGGCTGTCGTCGTCGTGCAATTGCGACACACAATAATGATACGACCCCGCTTGGTGTGTATCGTTAATTGATACCCTAGTCCGATCTCACCTACGCACCACTCTAGCTGTTGAATATTCAACCGAATGGTGTTGTGATAATTGTGATGCTCTCGACTTCGCGATGCTTCTTCCTGGCCGCATTCTCACGTCCTCACCCACCCCCGAATCCGTCACGCCCACGCGAAAGCCACGAAAAAAATACCGGCCCGTCGCATTGCGTGAAGATCTCGTTGATAACCTCACACAGTGGAGAAAAAGCGCCCACACTGGCGATCCTGTGGCGCGAAATTTCCCCATAGGCTATATCTTGGAGGAGAAAAGTATGGTCTTGATTGCTCGTGAAGCGCGCGGACGTTTCAAAATCCCTGCTGACATCACCGAATTCTTATCCGAAACGGAAGAATGGCACAGCAAATATTTCCTCAACATTCTCTCGGTTGTGGTTGCATACGATCGCGCTCCTGCCTCCTCGGACAACTCTTCGGAATCAAGCTCGGATTCAGATTTTGACCTTCCGAGCAGCGACGAGGAGTCCGACAATTCACCTGAAGTTGCCCCTGCTCCATCCGCGGCTGACTCGCAGATTATCATTCGCGCACACTCGCCATCCTCTTCATCATCGCGATCGAACACCCCTGAGCCAGAAGATGAACCCAGTCCTGCCTTCAACACCCTTGGACGTCCATTGCGAAGGACAGCAGAGAATCATACTGTCAGCGGAATTGCTGCTCAGGTTCAAAAACGGAGGAAGATTGCGGGTGAGTAGGACAATATCCCTAGTACAGAAAATAATGTACTGTTTCTAACGACCGTAACACCACTTTTTGTACGACTTTGTCCATGTCTTAAGACCTGTGGTCTGTAACTTCTCCGCACCGGCTTGCAGAATATCCACCGCTTCCCTCTCCGTCGCTCGGCGCCCATTCTTCACTGGTAGATGAAGTTGAAATTGCTTCATTTTTAACTGCACCTTCTTAATCTGATCCGAGGTATCGACCTTGGTATGGTGTGTACCTTGCCAGGGTGCTCCTAGGAACTCGCCAAATTGGGTTTTTAGCCGTCGTAGAATCGGAACATTTGGGGCGAGGTCAGACAATAAATCCCAAGAAGCATGAACCCCTCTGGATGCGAAGTAGTTCTGGATTTGTGTGTTAACGGAACTGTCTGACGGGCTTGCAAGCAGCTCACCTTCTGAAAATTAATGTTGAACTCCGCGTTCTTATCAACTCCGACATAGCTGCCGTATCCAGATGGTCGGATTAACGCATTGTCACGAACAAGGTCACTAACGAAGAGAAGTCAGGACATTAAATTCGACATTAATGACGCACTCACGCGAAATCGGGTGTCCAGACCTTGCGGAGATTTTGGATGAAATGCAGCAATTCTGTTTGATAGTTGCTGCACCCTCCACCACTGAACATCATAGTCACCGTTCCCAGCAGTAGCTCAACTCGGCCAAAGTCGCCTGATGCAATTGAAGTTCGTAGAAGGTAGAATGTGAGAAGATCGCGAACGAGCAACCCCAGATTGCGAACAGTGTTGTCAGCCGAGGCCTCCGGTAATGCTGCTGGCGATGCGTACTTGGTGAAGATCTGAGCAGCGATTTCTAGAAGTCGCGAAGCGGTCGGCTTTGAGTTTGCAAGTGCTGCGATGGACATGCCACTTTCGACTTCCCAGTAGTGGAGCAACGCGCCACTAAGAACCTGCATAAACAGCGAGACCAGGGTCTCGAAATCTGGCTGCGCAGATCCTAGCCGGACTTTCGCTAGCAGTCCTATGAAGTACTGGAGGCTGCCCAAATCGGCGCCGTTCCCACGATGGACTCCAAGAAGCAACCAGGACAAATTCAGTTCGATATGAAATGCTCCAGGCGCTAATTGGTAGTGCTCCAGGCGGAGGATCGCTGAAAGATCTCCCCTTCGAAGAAGTTGTGCAGAACGGATCAACGCGTTCGTCTTTTGGTCATTGTAGGAGGGAACAGCGATGTTGTCGAGATCGTGCGCAGCATATTTGAGCTGATCCAAGTAGACATTGTCGTTGACTTGAATGGTTCCATCGCTACTGCCTTCATCCAGCTTCGTCGTCCGTAATACAAACTCGTCGGTTTGGTGATCATCCGGGGGTGCACGATAGGTTTCATGTTGAAGCTCTGGCGCTTTTTTGAGATAATCGAACGCAGGGTTGCTTTTGATCAAAAGCTCCACAATGGAAATAGTAAAGTGTGTTTGAAGGGAAGCGCACTGAGACTGCGTAGGACGGATGTCGGCGGAATAAGAGATGATATCGCAGCTTCGGCGCCGGTCGAGAATCGGTTGAAGTGCCAGTGTTTGCATACTGTGAAGCGCACGCAGATAATAAATCAAGTGTGTCGTTCCTGTTTGAACTTTCGGGGGTGCGAGGGTGCATTGTTCGACGTGGATAGATAGGGAAATGTGAGTATTATCCCAACTGACTGAGTGTCCGCTTCGGGCCGCCACTTGCGCACGGCGGATCTGACCAACAGCAAGGGTTTCGTGTGCGGTCTGGGTCACGTTATACGAGAGGCACATTCCGGCGTGCGCGAGCGTGTCAATAACTTTGCGTGGCATGCCGGCGGAAAGAAAATAGAGGCTGCAGGGAATTGCACATAAATCGCTTTTCTCTGACCGCGTCTTCACAATTTGCGCCTGAATCATCGTGACAAGCTTTCGGATGATCAGGAAATGCCAAGGAACAAGAGCCGGGAATTATACCGGTTCACAATCTTTGAGGGTGTTCTCTTTGGCTGCACGTGGAGTCTGCGATGCTGCAACTAGAATGCGCCGGAATTTGGGCGAGACTTGACGACAAATATCTGTTACGTCGCGTTCGAAATCAAAGTTTAGAAGCCCTTCAGGTGTGAGATCCGCAACAGCTGCCCGAAAAGCAACTTTTAACTCATCCAGTTCTCCATGAATGTCGCGGATGAGTGTGTCCATTGCACGAGGCTCGTACCACTCGTCTAGTTTCTTGGCACCTTTTTTTATTTGCGACGACTGCAGTGAGGATGTGCTCGAGACCTTGACTCTTGTAGAATCCGTCCGCCTTGGTTTTGTAGCGGGGGTCGACGAGAATTGTTAGCAGAAAATCCGCGGGTGACATTCGGAATGTTTCCTTGAGAAGATGAACGACGGAGGAAGTCTTGACATCTTCAGGAATAGTCGAAGGAAGATATCTCCATTGTAGCGCGCACGGGGGAGCAGCAGGTGCGACGTCGGCCATCATCTTGACTTCTGAGCAGAATACGGCGCTTTGACGGCGGAAAACGAGCTAAATGCGACGGAAAAGCGTGTCGGAACGCAAGAGAATGATAGCAGGAAAGTATTGCATCAGTTTGAGGACGAACGGCGCGACGGGAGGTGCAGAAAGACGCGTCGACGGTGGGGGGAAATGGAAAGATGAGAGGTTACGTCATCAGCCATCACAGATTTTCAAACTCCGTGCCCAGGCCAATCGATCGATCCGAATAGTACCAGTCTGCCTACGGCAAAGTGCTTGCCCGCCACTTTGAAAAATCGTAGGCAGACTGGTTACGAGTCTAGACCTCAACCGTACCTGCGAGCTTTCGGATTGTACCTAATCAATGGGACTGATTTCAGACTTCTTCTGTGAGAATATATGTGCCCGTTCCCCTCAACGTACTTTCCGTCCAACTCTGATCCGAGGTGGAAGCGTCCTCGCGGTGATTACACCGATGTGTTTCCTTCCATTGCTCACCCTTATATATGCTGATCCCAACGCGACGTATCACGCCGAAGACATTCCCGACGTTGTACAAGACGAACATCACCCTCTGCGACGACTCGTCGACGGAGAAGAGATTGGGATCGCCAGCGGTACGGCAATCATGCTCTTGAATGCGCTGCCGCCTCAACCAGCCCAAAGATACCAACGTTTTCGTTGCTCGTGCATCCTAGATTGCCAAGTACGTCTCGTCCAAGTCATACAACTTGACCTCACCCACCACTCGTCAATTTAGACACACGCGGCGTCGCCAGGTGCGCCAGAAAAGGACTGGGGTTGGTGCCATGAGAGGCGGTCGGGCGTGGGCCGCGACGCACGAAGTGTTCTTACCTTGAGCTCTCGTATCTAGTTACTTAAAAAATATTTGGTTTCAGCATTTCTGAGCGGAATTCAACTGAGAATGCCCAAATTTGCGTATTTATGCCAACTTCTGCTGTGTTTTGAGTGGACAGATCAGAGCGGATATATAGCCTTACTGTACATGTACATCGATTGCGTGTATAATTTGAAGCCTCGATCACACCTCTTTTATACTTACCGGCTTTTCCATTTGAAGGGCAATTCTTTCCTTTTAGATCCCGACCACTCACCAAAAGAAATCTTGCTTGAAAGAAAACTGGGATACAAATGCACTCTTGTTGTATTTTCCACAAAAAACACACACACTTTTTACTCTTGTATATGGTAAAAGTTGGGCTGGTGGACGGACAGCCTTATAGCTCAATGGTAAGAGCGCCAACGTGACTTAAGCACTCACAAAGGAAACTACGTCGGAGGTCCTCGTTCGATTCGGGGTTAGGCTATTTCATTTACGCAGTTTTTTTTTTGAAGTTTATATTTTAAAAGTTAACTTTGAAAGAGAAGACTCGGAATGACATTCAGAAAAACAGAAAATTTAAAACATCCTGTAAGTATCTTTCCCTGATGGTAGGTACGTGCAAATTCGCTCGTGCTCGGCGCTGTCGTTGCGCTGTCGCCCAAGTCTCCTTCCGGCTGATAAGTGCATGGGTCTTTTCGGATGTTACTTGATGAACGAGGTTAGTCATCTATTACGCTTACCTGCAGCTGTCAACTTGTCTGGATTCATATAACCAGACGTGTTGGGACGCCTTTTTGGTTGAACTCGGCTTCCTGCCGTAGGATGCCAGCTGCTCAGTGCACTATTTGCCAGGCAATTCACTTATTCACGGCGCCTACATGTACTAGCCTTATCCGTCCATTTTTAATTGTGTCTGCATTCACCATTTTCCACCCGTCCCAAACCCGTCCGCATATTGCTTTCACGTTTTTCCACAGATTGTAGAAAATCGTAGTATGTTTGGCAGTTCCTCACATACTCTCCCCTGAAACTTGAGCCTCTCGGTGTGTACGATGTTCCTGGATTTCTTGTTTTGAATTTTGTTCAAGTTCATACATTTCTGCTCTGTTATCGTGCTCTAGTGTGAACTTCACTTTTATCTGAAGATTGAGTCCGTTTTCACACAGGTGAGTGCAGGAAATTGACGTGGCTAACAAATACTACAGTGTGCACCTAACTTCTTGGTTATTTCATGAAGAACGGACTTACTTTCCCATCTTGTATGTAATGGAAACCATCGGTTCCGTGCTTGCTAATTCGGAGAGCGGAAGGCGTCGAAAGCCCTCGTGGATCGTGTCGATTGCTTCTAGCCTGTCTGGATGCGGAAAAACATATAAGGAGAGGGTGGAGGCTCGAATCCTCCCGGGGCATGCTCTTGGAGTTCAGCCAATTTTTTTCGGTTTTTCTGTTCCGGCGAGTCTTTGGATCTGTGGCAGAGATATTCCGCAGCTGCAGCACACCATATTAGCTCTGAACGCGTTTATAACGCGACACAACGCAAATGGAAGCACGCGACGCGACTCCCACGTGACGGCGTTCTCCCACAACATGCGACCACAAACCTCCTCCCGACCGTCATCTTCATTCTCTCTGTTTCTTGCATCTGCCCTATGCTGGCTCCCAAAGCATGGCGGAATATGCGATCACAACATCCGACGATTTGTTCCCACAGAAGTCTTCGAGTAGATCGGCCGGCAGGCCACAGAGAGAATGGGAGAGTTCGGAGGACTCGGGGGCTGAGTGAAGCAGTCGGGATGTGTACCGCTGTCATCCTTTCTCTCGTCGTGATTTCGATTGACGACGCTGTTTTTGCAGGCGCCATCCTCGCCCGCCCTTTCCTCATCGTCGACCCTCCGCTTTTGTGGACGCGTACCTCCTTTCCCAGAGCGGTATCTGGGATATCGATGCGTGTCCCGAGCGATGGATCGCAAAAACGGTTTGCTGCCCCACAATTTCCAGCTCTACGCCGAGTCTACGGAAGGTGTGTCAGTTCCTTATTTTATGTCCGTGACGCTGATGGAGCTCGCAAGCGTTTCTCCACGACGTATCCATTCCCGCCGCCCATGCATGGAACCACGCGTCGATCTCGCGCCCCATCCCACCGTCGGTTTTCGTGGCGGCGTACCGTCTCTTCTCCTATTCGACAGCAGCAAGACACGACTCTTGCGCACCTGCCGCGCATAAGCACGCCAGCAGAATTACTATATCGTGTTGATTTGGACCGAGAGCATCAGCTCCGTCTGCTTGTGTCCTACCCTCTCGGAAACTTGCGCCCCAGCATGGTCGATAATAGATATTCGGCTTTCTTCGGCCGCCTACCTCTTGACGCTCCCGTCTTGCTCCCGTCCCTCGCCCCACTGCCGGCGCCCGAAACTTGCGCCCGTGCATCGCTGTGGTGCTCCCCAACTTATCTATTCACCGCCGTCGCCCTTATCTTACGTCTTGCGTCCTGGCCTCAGCCGTCCTGAGCCGATCCGCGCCACACCGTCCGCCCCTTATAGCGACGTCTTCCCATGCGCCGTGTTCGCGAACAAGCTCTCTCTACACCACCCTTTCTTTTCACTCCGTACCCTGAGCCCCGAACCGCACCGGCCGCTCTATGCGTTCCTGCTTTGCACCCGTATACGCTCTACAACACCCGCTCTCCTCCATAGCCACTACGCATACCCCCACATGCATTCTCGGAGAGCGACGGCACCCGTCAACGCGTTCGTCGGCCCAACACCAGAACACTGCTGATCTAGTCCTCGACGTGCACCACGCGTCCGACGCGTCTCGCGTTCCGCAGGTGCTCTCGGTGCTCGCCCAACTCGCCCGTCGCACCTCGTCCCTCGGCATATGGGCACATCTCCTCACATCGGCGAAGGCGCACCTCCCGTCCCTGTCCGTCCACATACGCGTCTCTCGCGTTCCACTGGTCAAAGTTCCGGAGCTTGATTTTGGACTTCGTGACAAGGGAAGGATGAACGCCTATCGGATAATGGATTCGGAGCGGAGCATCGGGCGGCGGGCGGCGAGAGCCTATACGAGGTGCGTTTGGCTGCGGATTGTTGTTTAACACGAATTCGAAGGGCTCGAGCGCGTTCAACACCACCGGGCGATACTATTGCGGATGTACGTTGGTTTCGGTTTCACTGTTTTAAGGTCGGTTTCATCCTTTTCTCTACTCGTTATATTATATTGTGGTCTCCGCTAATCGCATGCAATCTACAGATCACCTATGTAGTGCCTATTCTTTTTTTGGCCGCGCGGCGCGTGCTACTCCCGACCCGGCGCTATCCATATGGACCATACCGCGGACGCGTACTCCCCGTAGCTGACTGAACCTGCACGATGTGGCGAGCTATGAGAGCCGCGCTCCAGCCGCGCAGAGTGCAAGACGCTCCGCCTCGTCTTTTCTCCGCATCGCACCTGCTCGATCTGATCTCCAACGCATACCCTACCCCGTCACAGAAGCCGGGATACAGCTACCCCGCCAAGCTCTGCGGACACTTCCCCTCTAACCTACATGTACCGCCATTGCGGGATCCTCGAACACAGGTGTGTGGGGGTGTGCATGGTGCTGTAGAATGCGCGTAGCTACGGACAGCGAATGACGAACACACGGGGCTGCAGCCGGCGACGCCGCGCGAACGTATGAGTGCAGCCCAGGGACGCGCGTCGATGGAACACAGTACGCGTGCGCCTTTTTCGTTTTGACTTTTTCGTTGTAACTGCGTGCGATTGGTGCTGACGGTGCGCAATCCCGCTTCTTTGGTGGTCAAGTGGCGAGCTCGTCCGTCAGCCAAGATCAAGTTTTGGGAATTTGTGTATGTCTTTCGGAGCGTACGTCTCGCTCTGTTTATCGGTTCGCGGCTTCCTGGTTATTGGCTCGATCCAAATCGTCAACCCGCCTTTTCCCAACCCAAGCTCGGGAAGTTATGTATGTCGTTCCCAGCGTACGTTGCTTTTGTTCATCGATTTGCACCTTCCTTCTAATGACTCGTTTCAATTCATCAACCCGCCTTTTCCTGACCCGACTCGCGACTTCACGACCGTCACGATTCAACTTTGCGAATTGACTGCACCATCTGCGATCCATCCTGCCCATCTAGCACAACCCCTCCTCGCTGTATTTTCCCTTGTATCCTCGATCCAATGCTATCAAGCCAATCTCGATACAGCTCACCCAACCTCAAGGCTCTTTCCACGCGCGCAAGATTCGCCCGCTTCGGGACTTCCAAGTGCAAGTCAACCAATCTCGTGCTTCAGTCTTCCTAAAACTTTGGTTCCAGTCCCCTCGCGGTGCTTCACAATTCTAACCCTACCCAAATCGGACTCTACTCATGATCAAATAATTCCAGGTTTTGGCAGCCAGCGAATAAGCAATTGGTTGCTGTTGCTGGCCGAAGACAGACGTTCGCCCGCCTTTTCGGCCATGCCTTACTTGCTGGCTTGTTGACGTTTCCAGTGTGATCGCCGTCTGGTGTGCATAACGTCCGCTGGTCAATTTCCTCGTTCGTCAAGAGTTCGGTGTCGGTTACTTTCTACATGGAATCCGGAAGACTGGTCTGATTTTCGAAGTGACATGTCTAGATATTATATCTAGCCACAGCCTCAATTCAACCACACCTCTCGCAAGGAAGGACTCGGATACGAATGCAACGCAAGACTCTGCGCTGACGCCTAAATTCATTTGCGAAAGCAAACATATGCACCGTACCTTAAAGTCTCGCGTGCATGCTTGATTTCCGGGGTGGAAGCAGATAGCGGTTATAAATCGAACCAAGCTTTTCAACCATCATTCCACATTGAGTTATGGGACCGATACCCTCTGAACCACCGCTCACGGAGACGTCAGAACGCAACGCACGCACAGATCCACGCACATATCTCTTCGCTGCCTTTCAAAATTTTGAATTGAGATCGCGAACACATCCAGAGCAGCAAGTGGTGTGCAACGCCGCCACGCATAGCACTGAATATTTTCATTACTGTATTTTCTTACTGGAGATCATATTACCGTTGACACCGTTGCTTTGCTGGGGTGCCGCCAGCATTGGTGTCGATCTCTTTGCAGGGTGTCGGGAGAGAGGGTTGATTATACGGGAATAAGGAGATGAATATGTTGGAGTCGAAACAAGAGCCCAAATTGGGCCTTGGGGTTGAAGTCCACCGTCGAGGAAAATAGCCAATGATTTCAAGACGCCGCAGTGTAATTTATCTTTAAGATCTGCCGTTTCCGTTGTTGGTACTCAATACCGGGCCAAATCATATTTACTTCACTGCTGAACATTGAACACCCACTTTAAACACACTTTGTACACCTGCTTTTTAACACGACTCGCCGACCGCTCGCAACGTTGAACAACGTTAACGGAGACTGCTGGCGACTGGGAAAAACCTTTGGTATCATGGCATGTATCCATTTTCGAATTTTTATCTACGGGCGCAGAGAATCCGTCTGCAGAGACGGGACACCACGATTTCCGGGTCGGTCTCTGTAGTGTCTGGGTACCTCAACATGTTAAATTAAGACGGCACCAGTAGAGGACAGGCTTGGAGGTAAGTAGTTGAGAATATATGTAGAGGGCACCACTGAATGGAAGGGAATCCGGCCTTCGAATATGAAACCCCAAGGTCAATAAATGGTATGAAAAAGTATTAGTTACAAGGCAATGTTTGGAGAATATCGATGGCGGGGGGTCAAAGCGGGGAGGTCGAGGGTGTAGAGTAAAAAAGGTAAGAGAACAATCAAGACATGGCTGTTTTCCCTGTGAGCGTGCATTATGTAAATGTCTGGTGGAAATGATCGCCCGGTATCTTACATTTTACGGAAGGCGAAAAAAAAACCTTCTCGGATAGTCACCAGTGCCTCTGGCGGGATTCGAACCCGCGTTACCTTGTTAACATCACGGTATCACAGCGAAGTAAGCAAGGAGACCTTCCACTTGGTCTACAGAAGCCACGACTTTCAAGAGGACCTGTACGTACCTATAGTACTCAATTCTTGGTTATTATTCAACCAAACTGTGGTGGATTGAGCATAGAAAGCGAAATATCTGGCCCATATGCATGTGTACCATCAGACTTTTGCTCGTGCTTCTGACTGCACGGATACATTGGTGCAAAATTCCAGATTGAGTTGCTTCTGAAATGTGGGTGTTCCATGTTTTGCTTCTACGAGTTCTAAAATGTCCTTTCAAAATTGAAATTCAAGATCAGATGCAATCAGGTTGAATTTCCATGCGGTCATGGACGGCGGTCTAGAACGGTCTGGGCCATGCTGGATTTGGCCTCGGCGCAGGTGAGGCCTTTGTTCGTCGTCGCCGTTGTTCATCATCTCCGCCCCGTCTTTTTTCCTACCGCCATGCCCCCAGCTATGTCCCTCCAATTGGTCAATGGCGCGCTGGATAGATGGAGTCGGGTGTGCGCATAGGTAAACGGTGCGTGGCTGCTCTTTTTGGTCTTAATCCCGCGACATTGACCGAGTCTGCTAGGTCGCTTGCAATGCACAGCTGCCCAGCCGACGAGAAGGGTGGGCTGCTGTGACCCGCATTCACCGGGTCCCAGCGCAAGACCGCCATCAATCCCGCCAGCCGTCGCTGCAACAGTAGCGCCCTTAAAGCAAGACACGCCCGTAGAACGAGTTCACTGGGACACGCCGATACGCAAGGACTGAGCTTGCAACTGTCATGCCGCCTTCCGTGCTCCACACCGTCGATCTATGTCACGGTCGCACTCTGCGTGCCGTGTACCCAGAATGCGTTGTGCGTGTGCGGCTTGCCATGTCATCCTCGCATCGTTATGAACGTGTAGGTACGCGGTTCTCGTCCGCTGCGTGCATCATTTAACAGGAACTCGGAAATTTCAGGTTTTTAAGCAAAGTACGAAAATTCGACTTGCCTCCCGGAGACTCGTGCCGAGTCCTTCGAAACCGTGTTCTGAAGCGCCGTACGCGCATGACCCATGGTCCCCCGCGCAAATTCGGCACTTCCGAGGCATGCTTTCTGCTTGAAATTGCGACACCCGTTGACGCACTTTTACAGGAATCCCCTTGAAGCATTCATCCCTCGGCTTCAGGAATGCGGGAAGTCCTGTACACCGGCAATTCGGTACGTTCGTTCAGTCGCTTCCTTTCAAGGAGTCGAGCTGACACGTAATTTTTCAGTGTCTCTTGCTCAACTTCGACTTACCTCCAAACTTTCCAAGCCAATTTTCTTGAAACCACAATTGGATGGACGCACGTACGCACGGGCTCAGCGTCCGCGACGCGCGGACTCACCAGCACCGACATTGGATAACTCAGCATTCAGGTAAGTCAATTGGGAGCAGTTGATTATATTCATGGGCTAACGAAATTACAGGCAGGCTGGATATATGTGCGTACGGTATGAACTTCATGCGCCGAATCTACCCGCCGAATTTACGCATTGACACCGAACGCCAGTTGAGTCGGTTCGCGACTCGGACCGAGCATCGCGCTGGACGAACGCGGATGCGGCGCGGCGCAACAGCGATGCACACGGGCTAGGAGGCGGCGCATCGGTGTATGTGATCGTCTCGAGCACAGAGATGTAGAAAAGGTCAGTTATTCTGCGCTTTCAGTCGGGGAAGTTGAGCACTCACCGTTCGATGCAGACACTTGCTCCTCGTAGGCCTGCGGGGTGTGCGTCACGGGAGCGTGGGACACGGCGGATGTGGTGGCGCGCGAGATGAGCGACAGAGGGCGGGCGCAGCATCTGGAGTCCCGGCGAGTGCGTGCGCAATCGGAAGGGTGGATGCGGCGATGAGTGAGGTACATATGCGAGGTTCCCCGTGTGTGTGACGCGACGCAGAGTGCGAGCGTCGACTGCGAGCGCTTTGTGGGAGGCATGGGGGATGCACGCACGTGTGGCGTGTGCGGGGCGGAGTGCTGCTGGTAAGCATCCAACAGCGCCTCTGTCGACTATCAGTCCGAGCGGCGGAGGGCAGGGCGGGTGATCGTGGGGGAGGGGCAGGGCTGCAGCTGAGTGCAGTCGCTACGGAGAGGCGAGGACTTGACGTAAGTTCTTTCCTGTCCGTTTCCGCGAGCAGCCCAGTTGAGATCCTTCTAGCCAAATTTCCTTCCGAGTCGCAATGTATAAACTCAAGCGTTGAGATCCTTTGTGACGTCCCCACAGCGAATGCAGCCTCGAGGTAAATTTCGGGGTTGATATTTTAAAACACAGCTGATGCACCTTCCGTGATAGGTACCGTCTCGCGCTTGTTCCGCCCCTACTCACGTTCCGCGCCGTTCGAGGAACTGCCACGTCCCCGCGCTCAGTACTTGGTGCGCGATCGATGTTGGTTGTGTGCTAAGACTTTCGAGATGCCGGGCTGACATATTTTGCAGATATTTCCATGCGGACGGGACGGTTGTGCGAACGTCGCGATTGCGAGACGTTTGCGTTCCCCCAAGCGTTGCAGCGAGCCAGCACGGAGTCGGCGTGGTCAGCGAGTGCGAAAGGGCTGCACCAAGGGTTGTGCTGAGTGCGGGATGTATGACCGTGCATCGGGCGTCAGAGGGGACTCTGCACAGCTACGAATCATGGGATGGAGCAAGCGAGCAGTAGCGCGCAAAGTTTGAGGGCGTTGCAGCAATAACACCCCAGTTATTCCCAAACTCGCAAGGACGCTGTCTTGGAACGCAAGGTGAGCCGGGTACGAAGAAGTCTCAGTATTAAGCTAACGTGGCAGTATCGAGATGTTATGTACCGAGTCAGTCCATCGTGCATAGCATGCCTTGAAATTGAAGTCCCGGACTGCCGGGCATGTACAAGGTTTTGCAGGTATTCGTCCGCGTGCGGCGGACGTCTCGCGGACCGGCGCAAACAGGATGCTGTGGGCGCAGATGCACGGAGTCGGATCGCTTGCGGATGCTGGCGCGTAGCAAGGCGCACATGCACAGCAGACAGCGAATGCGTCGACGTCTGTGGATGTGTGGCATGCGGGGTATGTGTTGTCCGCAGTGGAAGTAAGGAAGCGAGACTCGGTGGATGTGAAGTGGTGGAGGCGGAGTCTCAGTGGTGGAGGACTTGACGTGTTGGTGGCGACGGGCGTCTGTTGCAGTACATAGTTACGCGAAGTCTGGCGCGAAGAGCGTCGCTGCGGCCCGTCTTGTATGGGAACGGGGTGAGTCCAGTGTTGTCGAGGCAGCGTGATGGACTGTGTGTGTGCGAACATCCCCAAGATCCGCCGTTAGCTTTCCGTCAGCGGTGTTCAACCTCGACCCACCTGTCATCAATATTGCCGTGGTGGCCAAGTTTGGCATCCTCACAAAAATCGGATTCTGACACATTCGACCGCATGGACCTCGACAAAATCGTCGCGTGCGGAGGTTTTTCATCTCTCAGTCGCATCTAGTTGCTCATTTGGTATTTGTGGCAACATCATCGAACACAACACGTCGATTTCACGCAACGACTTTGGTGTTTCAATGACACCACGTTCTCGGCCCTCATCAGCAAGAACCCAGGACAGGCCATTTATGACCCGATCGCGGCAGGACAAACTCAGCGCGCGACCGCCTCGCGCACTTGCTTGCGACGAAACCTTTCACGCTGAACACTTAAAAGGAGTTCTTGCTTCGAAACCGTGAGTCCGCGCTGTATCTGAGCATCATGGGGGTCCGATCACCGCTCTCGCTCCCAAGAAGTAGGCGTTGCGCTCGAAATATCCGGCGAACTGCCTCATACTGATTTAACTCTCTTAGGCTCGTGAACATTTTCTTCTGCGGGAAACGCATTCCCTATGCTGAGGTGTCACCAGCTGACCAAGACACGCATCACGGAGGATACAATGTTGCCTATCGAGGACATTATCCGCGATGTGTTACACTGCGGCCCATTACTCCTCGGTTCGGGCATCCAGGTCAACTTGGATACGCTCCAGTAGTGTTATGATAATCACCGTCGTTATAAATTGCCTGCTCGCCGGCGCTATGGGGCCTTAAAGTTGACCCTACCTTAATTTTTTTACATCTCCTTAGTATTCTCATGAATGTTCTTTATGGTTCGCCACCCTGAGTCACTCCCATCCGCATGACGAACCTACAGGCTTGTATTTCGAACCGTGGGAAAGCCTTGTGATGACGTGATCGTAACTTATAAGTTGAACTGTTGTCCGCACGATATTTCGCCATCCTACTCGGCTTCGGAAGCACTTATACGTACCAAAAGCATCACTTTCCTACAGTCTCCGTGCATCAATGCACCAAACTTCTTACTTCACATGGACAGATTTCACTTGAGATTGGAGTGCTACGGGCTCCAATTTCACACCGGGACGAAGGTCCACTGCTGGTCGGGCTGCCCCGTTGGGTCCCCAAGTTTAATCTTCTGTGAAAAGCCAAGGCTCGACCGACGGCGATCGATTAGATGTCAGTTTGTGACCAAGCACTCTAGCAAGCGAAAACACACAACATCCAAAGCTGACCGCTCTTGAAGGACTAGGGTGTCCCTTCCGGCCCTAGCATGCTCAGACGCTGGCGTGTGTTGCCTAGGATGATGTGGGAATATCCGGCAATCATATTCTGCGTCGGTGGTGCAAAGCTTCCCTATGCAGAATAGCAAGTTAGTAAGGATACACTGTGTCCGTGGTATACTTACATACTATTGCAGCACCATTGTTGCAAGCACCCAAGAGCATGGCCTCTTGACCACTTAATAGGCACAGCGCTAATGACAGACAACGCCGCAAAGCCGAGCGTTATAAAGCGGATGAACATTGTGTAAGCATAGGAAAGATGCGACGATGAGGTTGGGTTGGTTTGTGCTTGGAGGAACCAACAGGGAGGAGTGGTCTTATAAGGCGATGCGCTGGCACCACTACCATACATCAATTCGGCAGAAAGGGGACATACGGAGCCAGACACGATACCGAGTACTGCCCTAGGAATGCATGACAACCTCGAACTGGCGCCAGGCTTCTGACTGGGGGTCCGAAT